GGTCCCAACAATAATTATTCTTTAGAATTAATAATGTTCAAAACGATGGGCGCTCTGTGGCAATTTTCGGCCTCGGGGGAGGCCCCACCTGGCTCCAGGAGCGTCAAGACACAACTCTGGGTGCAAGCCCGGTCCCGGGGAAGGGGGTCCAGACCTCTGGGGGCCCGTGTTGCGGAAAATCACAAGGCCGGATGTCTGGGAATGACCTCGAATCGGCGATGCACCGCCCCGATAGATCAGCCAGAAGCTCGACAACGAACCCGCGCGCTAGTCGACTTCCTGGGGCAGCTGGAGGCAGGTTGGACACATCTTGAGCGATCGTGGGCGACCTTGCGCTATTTGGGAGGCCATCTTGGGTCCTCGGGCGTTCGGAGGTCATCTTGGGTCATCGTGGACCCTCGCATAGGTCGCCACCCCCCCCGCCCAGACCCAGGGGAGGGACTTCCTCTGAACTGCCCCTCGGCTACAGGACTTGAGCGTTTCACGCTATCTCGGCGCCGGCAAGACAGGACAAAGCGAGTCGGCGAAGCGGTCTCCAAGATGGCACGCGATGGTCCAAGATGGTGCAAGATAGCCTCTACCAGGCGTCCAAGCGGCCTGAAGATCTATAAAAAAAGGCCCGGGGCTTTGGGGGGGCCAGAAGCAGGTTGGCGATAACTGGGCAGCGATAGATGGGCGATTTGGGCCACTGCTTCACCCCTGGTACAAGAAGACCAAGGCAAACATTGACTCTCAGCAGCATGTCCTTGAACTGCATGTCTGGTGGGTGCACGGAGAGGATGGCGGGCTTGTCAAGTTGACCGTCAATCATGTAACCATTCTGGCTTAGATTAGTTCGTGAGCGCCCACCGGAGACGCTGCCGTCCGCTCGCGGGCCCCGAGGCAGGCCGATACACCAAACCAGCCGTACAGACCAAACATTGAGCAGTCAAGACATGATATAACTTGGTGTGCCGACTCTGCGCAGCAGTTCTGCACGGCCAGCCCAATCGCAGGAAGCTCTTCGAGGCCATTGCCAGGGAAAGGGCTCGAGCAGGACGGGGGGGTCAGTGCTTCACCCCTGGTACCAGAAGGCCCAGAACTGCGACACACACAAACTCTCTGAGGTCCGCACGGGTTGCTTGGATCGGCGCTGGGCGCCCTCCCGAGCGCGCCAGGGGCAGCACCAGAGACGACGCCTGTCTCCCCCGTCATCGACCTGGGCCTGTCTCCCGCTGTCTCAAGAAACAACGTCTGGGAGGTCTTCGTAAAAACGGTTGAAGGGTACTAGACCCGATGAACGGGTGAGCCCAGCATAAAACCGCATTTAGCCGCATTACGCGGGATTGAACGGACACATGCCAGGTCAGTCCAGCTGTCGCCACCACGGATGTACTAGTGCCGATGCTGAACTGAACCTCCCAGGAACTACATCCCAGCCCGTCGTTGCCCCTGGGCCTTTAGCTGTGTTGCTCTCTCCAGCGTCCACGAGGTACGACAGCGCGGGCAGGAAGACGGGCTGCAGCCTCACCTCCGGCTTCGGCGCGGGGATGCCGGGCGCCTTCTCGGCTGCACTCAAAGCATGGCCCCCCTGGGCCACAGTGGGGCATTTTGGCGCGCGGTTTGCCGATCGTCGCGCGCGATGCGACAGTAGCGGCCTGCGTGCTTGGGCTCGGCCCCTCCGCGCCCCCCCGAAGACCGCGCACAAAAGGTCACGCCGCCGCAGATTCTTTCTTGAAGTGCAGCCGATCCTTGGGCTTCGACAAGGACTCCCGGACCGCCGCGAAAAAGCCCTTGCAGAACATGTGGTGGTCCTCCGCGATGACGTCCCTGTCCCAGCCGTCCACCAGGGGGTGCATGGTCAGCGCGAGCGTGGTGGAGTAGGAGGAGTAGCAAAAGTGGTGGCCGACCTGGGGAGGCTGGAGCCGGGGAGACTCGGCAACACTGACCGCACATAAGCACATCAGGATTCTACCCTCCGCTTTCCCTCCCTTCCTCCTACCCTCCAACTGCTAATCCTAATCACCATCATCATCTTCGTCAGCATCATCATCATCATCATCATCATCATCATCATCATCATCATCATCATCATCATCAGCATCATCATCATCATCATCAGCAGCAGCAGCAGCATCATATCATCATCATCCACATCATCATCAGCAGCAGCATCGCTCATCATCATCATCATCATCATCATCATCATCATCATCATCATCATCACAACATCATCATCATCATCATCATCATCATCATCATCATCATCAGCATCAGCATCATCATCATCATCATCATCATCATCATCATCGTCATCATCATAATCACCATCGTCATCATCGTCATCATCATCAGCATCGGCATCAGCACCATCACCACCACCACCGTCCTCATCATCACCACCATCGTCGTATTCATCATCGTCACCATCATCATCATCATCATCATCATCATCATCATCATCAGCATCATCATCAGCATCATCCGTATCATCATCATCATCATCATCATCATCATCATCATCATCATCATCATCATCATCATAATCAAAATCATCATCATCATCATCATCATCATCATCATCATCGTCAGCATCGTTATCATCATCATCAGCAGCATCATCAGCACCACCACCATCATCATCATCAGCATCATCATCACCATACACAGCATCGTCGTTACCATTATCAACATCAAAAGGGGAATCCCCATAATCGTAATAATCGTCATCATCGTCACCGCAATCGTAATCGGCAACGTCGTCCATCATCATCATCATCATCATCAGCAGCAGCAGCAGCATCATCATCATCATCATCATCATCATCATCATCAGCAGCAGCAGCAGCAGCATCATCAGCATCTGCATCCGCATCATCATCATCAGCACCACCACCACCACCATCATCACCATCATCACCATCGTCGTATTCATCATCGTCACCACCGTCGCCATCATCATCATCATCATCATCGTCATCATCATCAGCAGCAGCATCATCATATCATCACCATCATCATCAGCAGCACCATCCTTACTATCATCACAATCATCATACACAACATCGTCGTTACCATTATCAGCATCACAGTGGAAATCGCCATAATCGTAATAATCGTCATCATCGTCGCCGTCCATCACCATCATCATCAGAAGCATCAGCAGCAGCAGCAGCATCATCCTCATCCTCATCTTCTTTTCGTCGTCGTCCTCATCATCCGTATCAGCATCATCAACAGCATAATCATCATTATCATCAGCAGCAGCAGCATCAACATCTTCTTCATCGCCACAATCATCATCACCACCACAACACTAAGCATCATCATCATCATCATCATCATCATCATCACCCTCCCCCCTATCACATCACCATCACCATCGTCATCACCATCATAATCATCATCAACACTACCATCATTATCAACCCTCCTCCTCCCTAGTCATCCTCCTCCCCCAACATCGGGCCCCTCAAGATCGGGTTCCGACAAGAACTCCAGGGCGGGCCCAGCCATGGCGACGAGGGCCCGGTCCAGGACGCCCAGAAATCGAGAAGGCGTTGAAGACTGCCTCCTCCTCCTCCTCCTCCTCCTCCTGCTCATCCTCCTCCTCCTCATCCTCCTTTTCCTGCCCCTCCTCCGACTCCTCCTCCTCCTCCGCCTCCATCCCTTTTCTCTTTTCCTTGAAAATAATTCCTCCCTGTCTCACCACCAGACGTGTCGGTAGAGTGGGCCGGACGTTTCACATTTCCGCACTATGATCCTGAATATTGAAATTTGCATCAGCTTTGAAAATGTGAAAATGGAGAGCAGGTGGTTTTCAGAGTGTGGCTCTCGCCTCACCGCTGCGCACATTCGTCTTAGAAGCTCGCAACAGCTTCAAGGGGGTGGTTTTCAAAATGTGGCATTCGCTTTAGCACCGCGCACATTCGTCTTGAAAGTTTGAATCAGCTTGGTGGATGGAGGACGACTGGCTTTCAAAATGCGGCTCTCGCTCTAGCGCCGCGTCAAAAGTTTGCAACAGCTGCAAGGATGCAGGGCAGGTCTTTTTGTCAATATGCAGCGCTCGAATGTTGATTCACGGTGTTGACGTCCCGGGAACAATGTCCTGAGACGATTTCCGATTGCCAGGACGCAACATTCGCGACGATTCGCGGCGTTGGAGTCCAGAGAACTGCATCTTGGCACGATTGGGGGCTCGAGGGTTCATTGCAACATCGCTGATGCGTATTCAGTTTTTTAACTTGTCTTCCTCCTCATAGTTTCCCTCCTCCTCCTCATCATCATCATCATCAGCATCATCATCAGCAGCAACATCATCCTCCTCCATTTCCTCCTCTTCCTCCTCCTCCTCCACCCACCTCCTCCTCCTCCTCCTCCTCCTCCTCCTCCTCCTCCTCCTCCTCCTCCTCCCTCCTCCTCCTCCTCCTCCTCCTCCTCCTCCTCCTCTCCTCCTCCTCCTCCCCCCCCTCCCTCCTCCCTCCTCTCTCCTCTCTCCTCCTTTCCATCCTCCCTCCTCCCCCCCCTCCTCTCTCCTCTCGGTTCCCTCCTCCCTCCTCCCTCCTCTTTCCCTCCTCCTCTTCCTCCTCCCTCCTCCCCCCTCCCTCCTCCCTCTTCCCTCCTTCCCTCTACCCTCCCCCCCCCCCGCCCTCGTCACGGCGGAAGCAGGCGGATGCAGGCGTCCGCGCCGCCCGTCCCAAACAGCAGAAAGCTCAGGCCTCTTGGTCTTGAGCCTGAACAGACAAAACCAGGCCACACCTGGACAAGGGCGGGGAAGCGCCCAGCTTCTCCTGCCAAAACCATCAGCCAACTCAGGGAAGTTAGCTGGCTTCTCCCCCAGTGACCTGGACGCCCTTGTGAGACCACCGAATGAAGGCAACCAGGTCCGAGGGGGCGGGGGGGAACGATGGCACGTGACCGCCCACCCTTTGGTACTGCCGAGCCCAACTGGGGGAATTCTCGCTGGCGAACCTCGACCTCTGTTGTTTGAAGTCGTTGTTGGGCGGACGGCCCGAGCACAACGAAGTAAGGAAGGCCACGCCTGACCAGGCGCACCCTGCGCATTTGAGACGCGCAACCACCCACCCGCTACTCCCCGCCCGACTTTCACCAGCGGCGGAAACCTTAGCCTTGCAGAAACTGTGACATTTCAGGCGGGCGAGGAGAATGAGCTCAGACAGTTGCTCTGGACCCCCCGGAGCAGCCTCCCAGGTGTCCGAAACATAATAGTGCACGGCCAACACGGAGCCTCCAGGATTCCAAGATGCCAGACCATGCCGCTCAGTCTTTCCAGCCTGGCTAAAAGTGCGCATCCTGTTGGTCGGTTCGGGTTCCGCGTCTCGCGCCCCGCCGCGCACGGGAAAACCAGAAAAGCCCGCCCAACCTCGATCAGCAATTTCAACGTTTTGAACCGCCCCCCGCCAAGCTCTGCCCTGCTGCAAAGTTCGGCTCGCGCCGAGAGCCTGGACATCCTGTGCAGGCAGAGGGTGGACCTCAGCTCTTCCCCTGGCATAGCGGCCTGCGCGATCGTTGCCGAGACGCCGCGGATCACGGCATACATCGGCGGCGGCCGCACTGCCCCAAGGTCTCCTAGCCCGCAGCCCATCCCCAAAAGGCTTGCCGAACCTGACTCCAAACGCGGCCCCCCGGGCCATGAAAGGAGCAGCTCTTGACCGTCCCAGGCACACCCGGGAGTCCCCAAGCAATCATTGCAAATCTGAAATGTCTGAAACTGGATAAAAACAAGTTTTGCCGCCATTTTGCAGGCGTAATCCTCGACGCCCCTAGCTTGCTGCAGAGGGAACGCGTCGTAAGGGACAGGTCCGAAGGCAGCACAAACGACCCCTCTAAATCCGCTGACTTGAACCGGGCCCCACCCTGTTCTGCGTTCAACCTCGCACGCCGGGTTCATTGCGTGGCCATCCGAGAAGACGAGCCCTTGGAGTTTGCCTGGGGCGGGCTTGTTGACCGGAAAAGCAAGGCACTGGTCCGAGAGCAAGGGCAAAGAAATCAGCCCGTGGGTCGCGGGGGCCCTTCCGCTGCAATGATCCTGCCACTGCAAATCGGCCTGCCGCGCAGCGTGTCGGGCAAGAGGAAACAAATGCTCACGGCGGTCTCAATCGAAAGCCTCGCAGCAGAATCGCCCTCGAAAAAAGGCGCCCGGCGCGGGCAAGCAAAGCTGGCACAGCTCGCCCTCAGCCAGTCATCGCCCCTCAAGCCTGGCCCGGGCCCAGGTGCCTTGAGCAAACGCGTTCATACCACAGGCCCGGCACTGCCCAGTCCAAATCTCAGACGTCTTCCCACTCATGAGCCCAAGGGCCCCCTTCCACAAGAAAGTGACCTACACCAGACAGTATCGCACTTAAGTCTAGACTGGAAGGCCCGCTTGTCGGCCCAATGTCCTGCACCGCCCCCAGGGCGCCATCGCCAGCAAGTCGATAATCGAAACCTGACTGCCCTGAACCAATCTGGCCGATAGAGGTCCCCAAGCAATCTCAGCCCGCGCGAGCAGGCACACGCGCGCCGGGGGCGCGGCGACGCGCCATGGGCGCATAGTCTTCCAGATGTCGCCCGGCGCCGTTTTTTACACCCCCCCCCAAAAAAAAAAACTATTGCACATCAAAGCCTGGGGTGCCGCCCCAGATTGCCCTGCACCACTGGAAAACAACACTGCTGTGATAGACCACGCACGGGCCGACCTGGGCCCCCATCGACAACGACGCGAGCCTGAACTACAGTAGCGCCCCAGACTTGCCCCTGCGCGCACTCCTGGTTGCAGCGAACCTCACACTGTGAACCTGCCATGGGCGAGCCCAGCCACCGCGGGGCCCCAGAGACCGTAAGCCAGAGGGCCCTCGCGTTGAGGATTGCCCACCAAGCCGCCGCGTTCTGGAGTCTCAAAACACGCTTAGATTTCTTACCAACCTTAATCCACGCCCCCCCGGCAGCAAGGCCCCTGCGAACCCCCGCGGCAACAGCATCGCACCCCAAAGTTCTGACAAACGCGCGGCGCTTAAAGCCGAACTCAGCCAGTTTCTGATCCAACCTCTGCTGCAACAACCTGGAAAACGCCAAATAGTTGACTTTATGGCACGGGAGAATCAGCTTCAGCTCGGCAAATCCTTCCTTCATCATGACTGCTGACGCTGCCGCGCCAACGCCTTGGACGAACCCCGCGTCGATTGCATTCCTGGCGATAAGCGAAGGGCGCGACGAAGTCACTGCAACCAACAACCTACATAGCACCACCGCAGCCAGAATCGCGGCCAACCTGCAGCCCGCCAAGACCGCGCCCGTGACCTCGAACAGCGAGGGCACCGCGCCTTGAAGAGATAGCACGCGCGCCTGCATAGAGAATGGCAACGGCCCTGGTCAGGCACGCGCGCGGCCCTGTCGCCTGGGCCCCGTTGAACAGGATCGACGAGGCAACTCTCTCGTCAGACTGGTCCAGATCCCCGAGCCACGCCGCGCGATCAAACCCCTTGAACTTGGCAAACTCATTCGTCGTGGCACGCTGCCAACTGGCTCTATCACATTACTTTTCCTGGCACCACAGAAAAAATACTCACTGCGTGGAGCTCCCCATATGCCCATCTCATGTTTTATGTCATGCCATAGCGAAAGTATGTTCATGAGCGCTTGACTATAATAGCGCGTCCACGTGGGCGACAGGGCCGACGAAGACGAGTGTATCCGAATGCGAGTGAGTGAGTATCAATCAGAATGAACTTTGAATATGACTGAATATGAACCTCCCATTCATTCCCCCTCCTCAATATTCTGGCCGCGAACGGGCCCGTGCCCCACCCCCTGGCGGCTCTTTTTAGGGCTGCTGAAACCAGCGCCCCGCCTGAGACACCCTCACAAACTGCTCTGAACGCAAACGAATCCGCCCACCAAAACAGCCAAACCGCCTGAGACATCCCCACAAACTGGCCGCGAACGGGCTCGCGAACACACCCCTGGCGGTTCCATTTAGGGGCGTTGAAACCAGCGCCCCGCATGAGACACCCTCGAAAACTGCTTTAAAACGCAAACGAGTCCGCCCACCAAAACAGCCAAACCGCCTGAGACACCCCCACAACCTGGCCACGAACGGGCACTTGAAAACACACCTTGCGGCTCCCCCCAGGGGTGCTGAAACCAGCGCCCCGCCTGAGACATCCTCACAAACTGCTTAAAACGCAAACGACTCTGCCCACCAAAACAGCCAAACCGCCTGAGACATCCCCACAAACTGGCCGCGAACGGGCCCGTGAAAACACCCCTGGCGGCCCCCCTTGGAAGTGCTGAAACCAGCGCCCCGCCTGAGACACCCTCACAAACTGCTCTAAACGCAAACGAGTCTGCCCACCAAAACAGCCAAACCGCATGAGACATCCCCACAAACTGGCCGCGAACGGGCTCGTGAACACACCCCTGGTGGCTCCTTTCTTTTAGGGGCGCTGAAACCAGCGCCCCGCCTGAGACATCCTCACAAACTGTTCTAAACGCAAGCGAGTCTGCCCACCAAAACAGCCAAACCGCATGAGACACCCCGACAAACTGGCCGCAAACGGGCCGTGAAAACACCCCTGGCGGCTCCCCTTAGAGGCGCTGAGGGGAGAAAAAAAGAGAGGATGAACTATTAATATACATGTATATATATTAATAATAATAATAATAATAATAATAATAATAATAATAATAATAATAATAATAATAATAATAATATATATATATATAATATATATTTATATATATAATGTATAATATATATATATATGCATTTAAAAAAAAAAAAAAAAAAAAAAAAAAAAAAAAAAAAAAAAAAAAAAAAAAAAAAAAAAAAAAAAAAAAAAAAAAAAAAAAAAAAAAAAAAAAAAAAAAACTCCTGGCGGCTCCCCTTAGGGGTGCTGAAACCAGCGCCCCGCCCGAGACACCCTCGCAAACTGCTCTAAACGCAAACGGGCCTGCCCACCAAAACAACCAAACCGCCTGGGACATCCCCACAAACTGGCCGCGAACGGGCCCGTGGAAACACCCTTTGGCGGCCCCCCTTAGGGGTGCTGAAACCAGCGCCCCGCCTGGGACATCCTCACAAACTGCTCTAAACGCAAGCGAGTACGTCTGGGTATGAGTAAGTCTGAGAATGAGTAAGTCTGTGCATGAGTAAGTCTGTGTATGTGTAGATCTGGGTATGGGTAAATCTGAGTATGAGTAGGTCTGAGTATGAGTAGGTCTGAGTATGAGTAAGTCTGCGCATGAGTAAGTCTGGGGATTAGTAAGTCGGAGTATGAGTGAGTCTGTGTATGAGTACGTATGGGTATGAATAAATCTGAGTATGAGTAAGTATGTGCATGAGTAAGTATGTGTTCTGGGTGTGTTTTTGTTCTCTGGAGTCGGCGGCGTCCAAGAAATAACAAGAACCCCATCTTAGGAGATGGGGAAAAAACGGAGCCGCATGGTCGCGCTACCAAGATCTAGCCCCCACCTGTCTCACACTCGCCCCAGCCCTCAATATACTGACCATAAGAGCTACAGGGCACAATCCAGCGCCGTCAGGCTTGCCACGTGAGCCCGCCAAGGGCAGCGCATTCCCTCGGGAGAGACGGCTTCCGATCCCAGAACATCATCAGGTCAATCAGTCTCGCCAAGAAGGATTCGGGTAACGACGGCCAACTTCAGGGGTTCAGGCAATCGACTCCAAGACCCGCATCATGCTTAAATGTATTCAATGCCCGGCGAAGCACTTGCCCATCAGGACGAAGGAGAGGCCGGGAATGGTCGGCCAACTGATGCTGCTGGTTCCTGAAAGGACTGTCACGACGATTCCAATAATTGCCCCTCTCCTCTCTGAGGGCCTCGACGGCCCGGCCCCCCTGCAACCGCCGGCTTTCGGGCCCAAGCGGCCCTGCAATCGGCTCTCTCATTAGAGAAAGCATGCGCTGCATTGCCGCCCTTAGCCACCGACTCCTGCGCCCACGATGCACACGTGGCCCACCACTCGCTCGAATAATCGCGCAACGAGCTCCTCATGAATCGATGTAGCACGCGACCACAGAAATCCCGGCTTCGTACCATCCGATACTTCAATCATGCCGATCGCTTCGGGCATGCTCGGAGCGAGGCACAAAAACATGAGACCCAAAACGTGCTGGTCCAGGTGCAAAGGAGAATGGCGCAACGCCACCCGCAGCCTGGAACTTGCCATGCGAGCTCCTCCCTGTGAGGCTGTGCCGAGCAGCGAGACAACGGATCTCCGCGAGCGCAACTGGGCCGTGGAATTCGCAGACCATTTTGCTTTAACGATCTCGTCCAGGGAAACAGTTTCCTCCTTGGAACCATCAATTCTGCCCAAAAATATGTCCTGGTCGGCTCCCTGGATATCAGAAACCCAACAAAGCCCCAAGCTCGCGAACTAAACCCAGTGGTCCCAGACAACGCTCAAGCTCACATCACCCGTGCCCCAGACATCCAATTCCAATGGTACCGAATGGGTTTCCCAACGCATCCGTTAGGTCGCTGGGCGGGGAACGGCCCCCAGACACATCGAACATGTCTGGGAATGTCCAGTTCGATGCCCTTAAACGTGACGGCGTGATGTCGACAGGGGAGCGCGTCGAGATCGGCACCCCGTGCCAGACCTTGATACGCCCCACGCACGAAATCAAAACGGCAGATACAATAAAAACTCGTATGCTCAACCTGTTCCCGCAGCACAACTATGGGCACTAGGGGCAGCAAGAGGCGCGCCGCGCTCCGCACACCACGCCTGAAGGCCCTCGCTACTTGGACCCATGTCAGCATCACATCCACTTTCCACGGAACCGAGAGTGGGCCCAAGAACTTCCAAGTTTCCCTACTCCCTCCTCCGTTTTCCCACCTCCCCTCCATCCCTCATTCCTCCTCCCCTCCCTCCCCTTCCATCTCCCTCCCCCCCTCACCAATGCCTCACTCCCCCTGCCTCCCTCTTCTACGTAGATCGGAAGAGAAAGCCTGGATGCGATGCTGCTGGTCAGCGCCGGTTGTGGCAGGATGACGCTTCAGCACGTTTTCCCGGCTTCTCCCAGGACCAGGAATCCGAACCACCCGGATGTGCGCGTGGCTCGGCTTGAGCGCTAGGGCCTAATCCTTCCTCTGGTCAATTACGCTAAAACGGCAGCAAAAGAGCGGAGAGAGGAAGAGGAAGAGACATGTGGGCTGCAAATGCTGCTTGGCATGTGCGTGGCCGTCCTGATCTCGGCTACCCCCTCGAAGCCAAGGATGAGAAAATCCCGACGACATCCGGACTCTTCATACTGCACTTCACACTTCACACACACGCTCGCGCACGCACACCCTCCATACGGGCGGGTTGTGACGGCCACGATTTGGATGCTAACTCGGACAACGTCTAAAAATGCGTCTTCACAAATTTCGCCGGGCGGCCGGGTTCACAAGCCCCGTTCTTATGACAACATACATACGATGCCCATGACAAGCGGCTGGCACGGGACCCCCCGCACGCCTTCACCCTTTGGCCCGGCATAGCCCTCGACATGCGTGCCCGCAGCGGGACGCATTGCTGCGAGGCGCCACCGGCACCAGCTCACGAGCCAGCTAATAGCGACGACAGGGGCAATATGTTCTGCCTGTTGCACCACGTCCAGACATGACATGCCCGTGGATCCGCGGGCCAGGAACTCGTGAACGAGGACCCATACTTGGAACGACCCCCAACACGCAGAGGCAAGAGAGAGGGAGAAGAGGACGAAACGAGGGGAGAGGGGCGGGAAGGGGAAGAGGCGAATCAGAGCATGATGCATACGTGACGGCCCTCACTGCAAGATGACATGTTGCATGCTGGAAGAATGCCACGTGCCGTCCGAGACCACATTCGAGAAGAGAGCCTGGCCGACCAATCGGAAACTCGTGAGCTCGTTCACGGCACCTTCTGGGCAGCCGTAGGCGGTGGCTTTGGCCTTCCACTGGATCATCGTCTTGGTCGTCTGCACCGAGACCCACCACTCCGGGAACGTGATCTGCGCCAACCCCGCGGTGGAGATGGCCGCGGCGAGCTGCTGCATGTCCGCGCGGCCCACGCCGAACCCGAGCACGCCCAGGGCACGCGAGTGGAGCTCGGCGTCCACGAACTGCCCGAACAGCGGGGTGGGAGCGCTCGGGGCCGCTGCAACGTGAGCGGCTGTCACGCCAGCTGGCCCTGCCATCCCGGGCACCCCCAGAGCCCCCAGGGCGCCGGCCTCCTCGGGAGGAGCCTGCCAGCGCACGCCTCCAGAGACAAGGACACCCTCGAGCAATTGCCGCGTCGCCAGCAAGTTCCCCGAGGTCGTGTCCACAGTCGCCTGCAGGGCGCCGAACTGCCGCCCTTGGGTCTGCTCGGTGCCAGCCAGGCTGCTCACGGAATTCCTGATCTGCTGGATCACGTGGTTCGCCTCCAAAGCCTGGTCCGAGAGCCTCGACGGAGTGCCGCCGACCATCTCCTGCAACCCGGTCACGGTCTCCTGCAGGCGCGTCGGGCTGCTCCGGCGTGGTCCTCGAGTCCAGGACCCTGGTGATGGCATCCGCCATGGCCTTGGCCTGGGCGTCTTCCTTGTGGTTCCCGGGCACGGCGCTCGACGAGCCGGGCTGCGAATTGAAGATCGCGCCCAGACGCTGGAGCTCTCCGAGGGCGCTCAGGTTCTCGAGGAAGCCGTGCAACTGGCCAACCATGCCCGTGCACCCAGAGCCCGAGCCCTGAAACGGCCCGTTTCCCTGTCCCCCGTACCTCGGAGCGTAGACGCCTTGGCCCTTGCCGCCGGGATAAGGCGCGAACCCGTTCGTGCCGTTGCCCCAGCCGGATCCGCCCATGGCGCTGCGCTGGCGTGCGGTCGAAGGCGGTCCCGGGAGACTCGCGGCAGCGAGGCTTTGAAGACTTCGATCCAAGGTTGCTGCAATCACTGATGCTGGCGTAATCAGATGTGAGTTTGTTACGAATGCCAAACGCACGCATTCAGCAGCCAAAGAAAGAGTTGGGGAAGGAGAGAGTATATGAGACCAAATACGTCTTATGATGTTTCGAATAACGAAGACTAAAATACCACCATCATGTTGAAATCCTCGACCTTCAGATTCGCCCATCTTCGCAGGCACCCTTTCAACTCGCTTCGGTGTTGTTTCAACATCCCAGCATCAAATACCCCAATATATAGACATATTGACTTTTTCCCCTGTTTGGATATATCCCTTCCCTTTTCCCTCCCTCCCTCCACCCCTTCCTCTTCCTAGGCCTCCTGGCCCGCGAAATCTGCCCACTCCTCCTCCACATCCTCCTCCTCCTCCACCTCCTCCTCCTCCTCCTCCTCCTCCTCCTCCTCCTCCTCCACCTCCTCCTCCTCCTCCTCCTCCTCCTCCTCCTCCTCCTCCTCCTCATCCTTCTGCTCCTGCTCATGCTCCTGCTCCTGCTCCTGCTCCTGCTCCTCCACCTCCACCTCCTCCTCCTCATCCTCCTCGTCCTCCTCGTGCTGCTGCTCCTGTTCCTCCTCCTCCTCCTCCTCCTGCTGCTGCTGCTGCTCCTGCTGCTCCTACTCCTCCTCCTCCTCCTCCTCCTCCTCCTCCTCCTCCTCCTCCTCCTCCTTCTCCTCCTCCTCCTCCTCCTGGTCATATTTATCCCCCTCCTTCTTCTTGTGATTAGTCTTATTAGTTGTCTTGATATGATTAGTCGTAGTACGATCATTCGTACTTTTATTACTAGTATTAGTATTCGTCGTCTTCTCATCCATATTCTTATTAGTAAGATGATCACTCGTCTTATTAGTAGTATTGTTGTTCGGATTCGTCTTCGTCTTATTCCTCCTCCTCCTCCTCCTCCTCCTCCTCCTCCTCCCCTCCTCCTCCTCCTCCTCCTCCTCCTCCTCCTCCTCCTCTCCTGCTCCTCCCCCCCCTCCCCCCGTCCCCATCCCCCCCGCCCCCCTTCATTTCCCCTCCCTCCCCCTCCCTCCGTCCATCCCTTGAGGGGGGACGATACGGGGGGACTGGCTCAGGGAGGGAAGCATCGACCTGGAAGCGGCGATGCATCGCTGATATATCGGCAGGACATACTTCTGCGAAACCATACGTTCCTGGGCGGGGTAGGCTATCAGGCACCTGCAAGCGATGAATGGGCGATTGGGGTTCAATGTTTCCCCCCTGCGCCTATCCCGCTAACGGTGCCCCTGACCCTCCCATCCCTCCTTCCTCCCCCTCCGCACCGTCCAGCGCTTCTCGTCGTCCGACCTTCGGGTCATAACTCGGATCTCTGGCGGCCGTTCGGGACGATCTGGGCACCCCTGGACGCCTCTCGGCGAGGCGCAGCTGCTGGAAAGCGTCCTGCAGCTGGAAAAACGCCGAGAACCGAGGAAAACGTCAGAAAGCCTTCAATCTCGAAGCTCCAACACCTGTCGAAACCTCCCTCCCCCTTCCCTCGCCCCCTCCCCCGTGGAGGCCTTCTGGTTCGCCAGGCCGCCGAGCTCGAAGGACACGGTGGCGTAGCTCGACACGCGCGTCGGGCCTGGCACGGAGAAGAGGTTGCGCATGATGAACACTGGGGGCTGCCAGAACGACCAAGAACGTTCTTGCACAGACATCTGGAGGGCCTGCGGGAAGGATGAGGAGCGGGGAGGAGGAGGAGGAAGAAGAGGAGGAGGAGGAGGAGAGGAATAAAGAGAAGAAACTGGAGAAGTTGGCGGCGCCCACAAGCGGGTGGCGCGAGGGGGGCGGCCTTATAAGAAGACGAAGAGGCCTTCTTAATGGAAGACCGCAGACGCTTCTAAGAAGACTTCTCCGAAGCCGGGCGGGCTTCCAAGAAGCGCCTCTGCCTTCTTTGAAGCCCCGCCGCCTCTTTGCAAGCCCGCCCCGCTGCGCCCTTTCTGGGCGCCGCCGAAGAAGGACGAGGAGCGGGGAGGAGGAGCGGCAGAGGTGGGCATCTAGAGGGCCTGCAGGGAGAGGGCGCTGAGGTACTGCGGATGGAAGAGGGTGTCCGCGTCGCCCACGGTCAGGAAGACCTGGCCCTCCTCCTGCTCCTCCTGCTCCTCCTGCTCCTCCTCCTCCTCCTCCTCCTCCTCCTCCTCCTCCTCCTCCTCCTCCTCCTCCTCCTCCTCCTCCTCCTCCTCCTCTTCCTCCTGCTCCTCCTCCTCCTGCTGCTGCTCTTGCTGCTCCTGCTGCTCCATGGCAGGTCGTCTTCGCCGCGGTCGTCTTCGCCAGACCCCCTCCGATAGGATTGTTCCAGTCCGCGGCCCCCAGAGGTCCCGACCCCTTCCCGACGGTCAGTTTTTCGCCCCGGATCCATGCTTGATGGCTCTGGGGCCCGATCACGTGCCCTGGTCGAGGAAAAACCTACTGGATTGGAAAAAACACACCAACAAAAAAACTCTTGTTGGAGATCTCCCTTCGCAGTCGTCTAAGCCGAGGTCGTCTTCGCCGCGGTCACCTTCGCTCGGTCGCTCCCGTGCGGTCGACCTCGCCTGCTCGCCTTTGCAGACCGCCCGGCCCGCAGGGCCGCCCACTCGCTTCCTTGAGGGCCCGTCCGGGGAAGGCGACCGCCCTGCGCAGGCGACGGCCAGCGAAGACGCCCAGATCTCCGACGATCTGAGGTCTCAACCAGCATCTGCTCCCCGATTTCGGCCCTGCGGAGGCCGCTTTGGGGCCCCGGAGCCCTCCATAATGGCTCTCGGGCGAGCCCTGGGGAAGGGGTCGGGACCTCTGGGGCTGCGGGTCCCAGACATCCAGCGCCTCGATTTCTTCGGGGCACGGACCCCCGACCTATCGACCACTTCCCCGGGACCAGTGCTTCATCCCGAGTCGTTTTGTTGACGTTCCTGGGGCCCCGTAAGGGCCCCGAGAGGCCGACAACGATGCAAAAACTCCGCCTCGATTGTTTCGAGATGTCGGACGTCTGGGATTGGTCAAATCACAGCGGTGGATGCCCGAGGGCGACCGCAGGCGAAGGCGGCCGCTGGCGTGGACGACCCGTGCCCTCCTCCCCCCCCGCGCCCTCCGACTCCCCCGCGCCCTCACGGCCAGGAGGACCTTCGAGGGGTCCCTGTGTTGCAGGTCCGTGCCGTAGGTCTGCAGGATGTGCCGGTAGGCCCACTGGGTGTTGGAAGACTTGCCAGCGAGCTCCTAATGGCGGGGGTGAGGAGGCTGAGGGAGGAGGAGGCCAACAGAAACTCGACTTCGGGGACATGCCAGCTGGTGCGAGAGAAAGACTGGCGCATAGTCCGCCTGTTCCCGTGGCTGGCGCAGAGCCCCCGCACCATCCCCGCCCATGACAGGCTGTGCAAGCAGGGTGCAGGCGGAGCCTGCCAACGAGGCCTGCATGCAGAAGGGCAAACGAAACGTCGGAATGCAATCAGCGCACAGCCCGCCCATGAGGAGGAGGCCTCCCCTCCCTCGAGGCAGAGTGCTGCGCAAGCGGGCCTCCGAACCGCACACCTGCCCTGCCCGGGAGGCTCGGCCCTCGCGCACGGTAAAACGACGCGAAGATCGGGACAAAATCGGATCGGGATAACTCGAAATCTCTGAGAATCGGCGGGTTTGGAGGATGTATTGGGCGCCGCGGCCGCTCCAGAGCGTTCCGGAACGCTCTGAGAGCGCTCCGGAACGCTCTGGAGCGATTTATCCCGATCCTAGCCCTGTTTTACACGGGCCCTCCTGCACGGTGGCCTCCGCCTCGCCAGCAAGAGCCCGGTCTCGGAGGAGGCGCCACGGCCCGCGTGCCGGCACGCCACTTCTCAGGGGCCCCGAGGCACTCTCGCCACAGGCCGTCTGGAGACTTCGTGGACAGCCTTGGAGATCTCCTGAGCCCATCTGGAGGCCGTCTTGAAGCCTCCTTTTTTTTGCCGCGAGCTCAGGGTCTCCTCGCTCACCAAACAGTTTCTACTGCGAATGTAGCGTACCGTACAAGAGCGAGATGCAAACGCGCGAGGTCGCTGTCTGTAGTTGACATAGAGCTGGCCTCGCGGAGAGCTCATCAGAGAACAATATACCATTACGGCCGCCTCTCTGCTCCAACTCCACCTCCTCTCTTCCTCCATGGCCCGTGCAGGAGGAAACGGAGGAGAAGAACAACGAGCAAGTGAGGAGGAGGGAGGAACAACATAAGGATAAGGGACACTTCTACCGCGAGCTCAGGGTCTCATCGCTCGCAAAACGGCTTCTACCGCATTGAAATGTGAGTGGTTTGAATAGTCCTCCTCCAGAAAGGACACGCCCGACCTAAACCTACCGTACCGGGCCCTCTTGGCCCTGGCCTCCACTTCCCCGAGCGACCGCTGCCGAGCCAGGGCGCCGGCAGCTCTTCCATAGAGAAGCTTTGCTGGGTGAGACTGGAGGCCAGAGGCCGAAAAGACCAGGCAGCCGAGGACGCCAAGCAACGCTCTGCACTCCCTGGCCCGGCGACTCCCGCGGCTCTGCCGCCCGCCCCCACGGATGCATTGGTCCGAGCAGTGCTTGCGCTTGGGGAGTCTTACTTCTGTTCTACGACGACATGATGCAGACGGAAGAAAGAGCATGACCAACGGGCAACGGAAACATGTAGCCCTCCAGAACGAACCTGGGGCCATGCTGGCAACAGTTGCACACTTGCCGCTTAAACAATCACTGGCGTGCATCAAACTACTCTTGCTGTCTTGTCAACTGCGCGCATGCGCCTATACAATCCTATCATGCAGCTGCTGCAAGACAAACATAATGCTCATTCACGGGGTACAACACACGATAACCAGGCTGATCGGGAGAGGGCGGCGGCCGTGGGCGAAGCCCTTACGGATAGGTGTGGGTGCATTCGCGATGGACAGAAACAAACTGTACCATGCACCCCTCGAGCCCCAACGTCCCGATTAACAGCAACGCCGCTGTAGCTGCTGCGTTGCAGTGCAAATGTGGCACAAACTTGTGCTGATCGGCGGCGGGAGATACTGAAACCTGGCCACCTGCAAGATCAGAACTGCCACCTCTAGCTCGGAGTGTAGTCGTAGTAGTAGTAGTAGTAGTAGTAGTAGTAGTAGTAGTAGTAGTAGTAGTAGTAGTAGTAGTAGTAGTAGTAGTAGTAGTAGTAGTAGTAGTAGTAGTAGTAGTAGTAGTAGTAGTAGTAGTAGTAGTAGTAGTAGTAGTAGTAGTAGTAAGTAGTAGTAGTAGTAGTAGTAGTAGTAGTAGTAGTAGTAGTAGTAGTAGTAGTAGTAGTAGTAGTAGTAGTAGTAGTAGTAGTAGTAGTAGTAGTAGTAGTAGTAGTAGTCGTAGTCGTAGTAGTAGTAGTAGTAGTAGTAGTAGTAGTAGTAGTAGTAGTAGTAGTAGTAGTAGTAGTAGTAGTAGTAGTAGTAGTAGTAGTAGTAGAAGAAGGAGTTGAAGTACAACTACACTAGACTCTTGGAGGTCCGCGCGGCTCTCTTGGACAGCCGCGTGCAGACCAGCGGCAGCTCGCACCGTGGACAAATTCGCAAGATGGCGGGACTGGACACTGGTCAGAACCCCAGCTCAACTTGGCCTCGCCCCGACGGCAAGATCTAATGAGACGCGCGGTCTCGCCCTCGCCTGGAGACGGTGGCTTTGCGGAGGCAGCGCCACGAGAACTGTTTCCCCTTCTTCTCAGAAGCCCGCTTCTTCTCGGATGGAGCGCAGATGTGACAGAACGGGCAGCTGTCACCGTTTTTGCAGCCGCGCTCCGCGAACAAGCAGGGGCGGCACGTGCCGTCCGAGTGCAGGGCGGACCCCCACGTCGGGCCTAAGTCAGAGCTGGTCTCAGCCACGACACGAGATGTCATCGACTCCGTCGGAGAAGCCCCGACTACGGGCGTGGGCCAATGCAGCGTTGCCGTCGCACGGGCCAAGCTGGAGCGCACGTCCCGTACGATCGTGGCGCCAGCCTGACCATGGTCATCGAGCCAGTCGTTGGCGAGCAGGCCATACTCCTCCAGGCTCTCCTCCAGGGTGAGGTCTTCGAGCTTCGACTTGATGACAACTAGGTCGTCCTCTATCGCTTGCTGCTTCTCGTTATTCTCGATGTCCTTCAGCCTCGTCTCCTCCTTCGAAGCTCCCACGGTGATAGCCTTGACCCAAAACCTCTCTGGCCTCTCACGGACCACCGTGGGGTCCGCGGGCTCGATGCCGACCGCGTCGAAGCCTGGTCCCATGGCCGTGTCCTCCTCCCCGAGCCGCACCGCCAGGCTGCATGGCTCGCCCACGCAGCCCGCCATCGCCCAGCCCCGCCGCTCCTCCTCCCCGAGCCGCACCGCCAGGCTGGAGGGCTCGCCGACGCAGCCCGCCATCACCGAGCCCAGCCGCTCCCGGCCCGCGCTGGCCTGCCGCTGCAGCCCCGGCGGGCCCGCGGCCAGGCGCGCGAGCACCTCCGCGAGCTGCTGGCGCCGCCGCCGCTCCTCCGCGAGCTGCTCCCGCGGCCGCTCGGTGCAGCTGCGCCGTGGCCCCCGCCCGCTGCGCCGCCCTTGAGGGGGCCCCGGCTGCGCTGCCGGGGCGGTCCTGCCGGCCGAGCCGCCTGCCTCGTCCTCGACCTCGCGACCCCCGCAGCCGCGCCCTGGTGCGCGGCCGCGGGGGGCCTCTGCCGAGGCGGACCGCGGAGGTGCGCACGCGCTCGCCAGTGCATCCGCGAGGGGTGGTGAAGCGCCGCCGGCAGACGACATCGCAGCGGAAACTGTGGTAGTGTGTCGTTCTCTTGTCCGGGGCTTCGCGGATGCACCTGCACAAGGCGGCAAGCACGCTTGGCGAAATATGGTATGAACCACAATGACCTGAGCCCAAACGGCTTGAGCCAAAATGGCTACGGTCCTGTCTTGAAGCCTCCTTGGGCCATCTTGGGAGCGTATTGGACCGTCTTCGGGCCCTCTTGGGCCGTCGTGGCCCACTTGGAGGCCTCTTGTGCTGTCTTCGAGCAATGTTTGGGGCCCTCTGGGGATATTGGAAGCCCGAGCCTGGAAGAACACTGAACACAATAGAACACAACTCAGGGGAAAACACTTCTCGCTGCGGGCATCACTCACACACAGATAGGCACGGGCCCATAGGCACGTCAATCCAGGAACGGAGCACACCCAGCCCACGCGCAGACACCACACTCCACGCCACCGCTGTCCTAGTGCGGAAGAGCCGAAGCACAGGGCACCACGGCACATAAATAACGTCTATGGGTGCCACGGGATTGGCACCAAGGCGTTGAATTCTGGACTACGGTTGGGATCGTTCACAAAGGGAAGAAGAGGAGGAGAAGGAGGAGGAGGAGTAGAAGGAGGAGGACGAGGAGGAAAAGGAGGAAGGGGAGGAGGGGGGGAGGAGGAGGAGGAGGAGGAGGAAGAGGAGAGGGAGGAAGAGAAGAAAGGAGGAGGAGGAGAGGGAGGAAGAGAGGCAGGAGGAGGAAGAGGGAGGAGGAGGAGGAGGACCGCGACAGCCCCAGCGACACGCTGTGCCCTGCGAGCGGATAGCGTGCCGCTCCGCTCCGCCGGGCGGAAGGCGCGGAGCCGCTCGGGGCCGCGAACGCGCGAGGGCCAGGAAGTGGACAGCGTGCCGCGCTGAAACGTGGTGAGCCAGGACAAGTGGAGTGACCAGCGTTCTCCTCCTCCTCTTCCTCCTCCTCCTCCACCACCACCTGCTGCTCCTGCTGCTCCATGGCAGGTCGTCTTCGCCCGCGGTCGTCTTCGCCGCGGTCTTTGCCAAAGCCCGACTTGCAAATCCGCGGGCGTCGAAATGGTCCGAGACAGTCAGACGCCGGTCAGCAAGCGGCGAGGTGCACAAGGAGCGAAATGAGGCACGAGGGCGAAGAGGAGCAGAGCGCGAGGGGGGAGGAGGGAGGCCAGCGGAGCCCTATCCAGAAGTTTCCGACTGGAATCACCTCCTCCTTTGATCGATCTCCTCCAAGATGGCCCCAAGATGGCTCCCGAGGCTCCCAAGGGTGCCCCAAGAGGGCCCCAAAAGGTGCCCAGCGCCCAGGAGGCCCCCAGAGGCCCCGAAGCGAAGAGACCCCCAGAAGGCCCCCCAAGAGGCTCCCAAGACACCCCCAAGACGCCCCAAGAGGCCCTCCAGAGGCACCCAAGACGCCCCGCGGGGCCTCGGCGGGAAAGCACACATCAGTGATTTGACTAAGGTTGTGGCAACATGTTGGCCTCCTGGGGGAGGCACCCTAAGTAAGGAGCCCCCCGTCCTTAGATGGATCTCTCCCAAGATGGCCCCAAGACGGCCCCCGAGGCTCCCAAGGGTGCCCCAAGACGGCCACAAGAGGCCCCCAAGATGCCACCAACAGGCTTCCAAGAGACACCCAAGAGACTCTAAGAGCCCACCCCAGAGGCACCCAAGACGCCCTACGAGGCCCCCGGGGCTGCCAAGAGATCCCAAAGACGCCCCAAGAGGACTTCAAGAAAATCTCGAAACAAATCCGAAGGGACTCCGAGAGGCATAGAGAATAAGACTCTGGCCGTTCTGCTCGCCATCCTCCTCCTCCTCCTCCTTCTCCTCCTCCTCCTCCTCCTCCTCCTCCTCCTCCTCCGCCTCCTCCTCCTCCGCCTGTTCCTCCTCCTTTCTCGTCCATCCTCCTCCCCCTCCCTCCTCCGCCTCCTCCTCCTCCTCCTCCTCCTCCTCCTCCTCCTCCTCCTCCTCCTCCTCCTCCTCCTCCTCCTCCCTCCTCCTTTTCCTCCGTTTCATCCTCCTCCTCCTCCTCCTCCTCCTCCTCCTCCTCCTCCTCCTCCTCCTCCTCCTCCTCCCCCTCCTCCTCTTCCTCCTCCTCTTCCTCATCCTCCTCCTTTCCTTCCTCCTCCTCCCCCTCCCTCCCTCCTCTCTCCTCCTCCTCCTCCTCCTCCTCCTCCTCCTCCTCCTCCTCCTCCTCCTCCTCTTCCTCCTCGTCCTCCTCATCCTCATCGTCCTCCGCGTGCGAGGCGAGAGCGGTTTGGGGAGGCCCAGGGAGGGTCTGAAGCCCACGGCGCCAACCACCATGATCAGAATTACAATTGTTTTGCATTGCCGTTGTTTTGCGTTGCCATGTTTTTGCGTTGCAGGATTTTTTTCGGCGTGGGCGGAGACCGCTGTAGCTTCAGGTTGGATGCACTGTACTGCGCGAGCGTCATGCACTTATGGTGAGCCCGACAAGTCGAGAAGGAAAACGCCTGCACCCCTGGCATGCCGAGTGCCGCGCGGGCCAGGTCCAGGCAGCGAATGCTGCTCGGCACACCGAATTATTCGATGTATCTATATATATATACAGAAGGGCACAAACCCATGCTAAGAGAATCCAAACGAGAGCTCCTCTCGCCGCGCCCCGCGGCTGAGTGAGGCCAGTGACGGGCGCGCGCTGCCCGCCCAATTCCTGGACCGCTCGTGCCAAAGTCCTCCCTGCGGCGCTTCGTGGCGAACTCGTCGGAGGCGCCGCACCTGCCCTCTTGGCCTAGCAGTGGTGGTCCTCGATCGAATAGAGCTTCCAATCGAATCCGCCACCGTTCGGGACATTGCATGGCTGGCAGCCGGGGTACGCTTTGGCGACCGCGGACTCGAAGTCGCGGCCCAGGCCGCCGCCCGGGCAGCCGCCGCCCGTGCAAATCCAGCAGTCGGCCCCGTGGGGCGCGGGGCACTCCGCCCGGCAGAACGAGTCGAACTGGCAGTCGCAGACGGCCTCGAGCGAGAAGCTCTGGCCGGCATCGCCGGGGTTGCAAGCCCTCTGGCGCGGGTCCACCGGGCACGGACTGCTCGTCAGGTTGTGCGCGGAGCCACGCTGCTCGGCGACCCGATCCGCCCGAGGAGTCCTGGCCTCCTCCTGCTGCCCCGAGGTGCTCCGCGGTGCTCCTGCGGCGGCCAGCGCCGCGGCGGCTGTGCTCGAATTGTGGGCGCCGCGCAGATGGCCCGGAGTGGGCACATGCAAGCGCCGAGAGTCCGAGAGGAAGATGGTCTTCATGTAGCCATCGGAGTCGTAGCCCCAATTCTGCTGCGACAGACCATTGCAATCCCAGATAGTCAACTGGGTACCCTCCGACATGTCGCCAGCGTCAACGCATTTGCCCTGGTCTGCGAAGTACCGAATGTGATAGTCATCTCCAAAGACCCACTGCTGGTTTTCTAAGCCATTACACTCCCAAGCCTCTACCGCGTTCCCGTTTGTCGTGTCGCCGCCTGCGAGGTCCAAGCACAACCACTCCCAAACTTGCGAGTGGATCTGCTGTGGACCTCCAGTGCATGCTGGCACGAGCCACTGCTGGTTCTCGCGCGCGAACTCCGACAGGCCAGGCTGGTCCGACATGAGGCAATCCCACACCTGCACTGCGCCACCGCTCCCACGCTGAATGTCTCGCCAGTTTGGCAAGTCCATGCAGAGACTGGCAGCGAGCGCCCCCTTCGGGGCGGCAGCAACGGCGAGGACCAGGGCGGGCGCTGCGCGTGCCATGGCGAGCTGGATGGGTGCTGGGTGGAATCGTCAAAGGTCCTCACGCTCGAAAATATTCTACCGAGCCGGCAGGAACTTGAGCCAAAATGGCTACGGAAGTTGTTTTGCATTGCAGCTTTGCCGGTCTAGTTTCAGACTTGGATTCCGCGTGCGAGGCGAGAGCGGTTCAGGGAGGTCCAGGGGAAGCTTTGAAGCCCATGGCGTCAACCACCATGATCAGAATTATAGTTGTTGTTTGCACTGCACTTTTTTTTACGTTGCAGCTTTGCCGTTCTAGCTCCAGCTTTGGATTCCGTATGCGAGGCGAGAGCGGTTTGGAGAGGTCCAGGGAGGATCTGAAGCCCACGGCGCCAACCACCATGATCAAAATTACGTTTCTTGTTGCATTTCAGTGTTTTGCACTACTGTTTAATTTGCATTGCAGTTTTTGTTGCATAGTAATTTTATGCACTGCAGTTACCGGAGATTTAGCACGCCTCTGGCCCGCTGGGCCGGCGCATTAAGGTTTTAGAAGGGTCCTGGCCTCTTGGAAGCCTCTCGGGGCGCTCTTGAAGCCATCTTGGAGCCATCTGGGGCCCCCCTTGGGCCTCTCTTGGGCCATCTTGGAGGCCATGGACCAACATAGAAGGCTGCGTCAATTTGGATCCCCCCGTCGGGGATCTCTGGGTCCATCCCGGAGCCATCTCGAAGCTTCAGAAGCCCAGCGGAAGCGAAAAGGCGAGAAGGCAAACACAAAGTTTAATTTCTATTAGGTTTTGGACGGTTGTTGGCCTCTCCAGGGCGTCCTTGGGAGGCCATTTGGCCACTTAGAGCCGTCTTGGAAGGATCTTGAAGCCTCTTGGAGGTCTGCTGCAGGTTTGTTTGGCCATGTTGGGCTATCTTCAGCGATCTTAAGAACCAAATTCAGCTCCTTGTGGCCTTCTTGGAGCCATCTTGGGCCATTTGGGCGCTCTGACCGCTCGCGAAAGATCCGTCCAGGTCCAAGGGGGAGAGGGTACCGAAGAGGAAGAAGGGGGTTGGAAGAGGGGGGTATCAAAACCACTCACGCCCTAAAGGGCTGGTTGGATTTTAGCCCCCTCCTCTGGGACTGTCAAAATCGCCTCTGGGGCCCTCTGGGGCCCCTCTCTGTCGCTTCTCGGAAGTCTTCGGGCGTCTTGGGCGTCTCTTGGCAGTCCCGGGAGCCGCTTGAAGCGTCTTGGCTGCATCTGGGGGGGAAAAGCTCCTGAGGCCTCTTGAGGGCCTCTTTGAGACCGCTTGGGAGTCGATGGAAGCCTCTTGGGGGTTTTCTTGGAGCCCCTTGGGCGCCTCTTGGGGCCCTCTTGGAAACCTAAGGGGCCCTCTTGAGACCATGAAAATTAGAGAAGGCAGAACAAATAGCGAGCCCAAAGAAGGAGAAAAAAATACAGAGCCGAGTCGGGTTTCAGATCAGTATTTCTGCACCAAAACAACGTAAGGCGCTGGGGCATAAGAACTTTTCGCTTTAAGCGGCTTAGAATGAATAACTCCTCCCTGTCGCACCCCGAAACCGGTCGAGAGGGCGGGCCGGGCGTTTCGCCTGAGACTCCTCACCATTTATAACCCTGAATATTGAAAATTGGCAACAGCCTCACACATGGAGGGCGGGCCGCTTCCAAAATGTGGCTCTCGCCTTAGCGCCGCGCACATTCGTCTTAACATTTCAGAGCGGGCCGTTTTCAAAATATGGCTCTCGCCTTAGCGCCGCGCACACTCATCTTGAACATTTTGCCAGAGCTTCAAAGATTGAGGGCGGCTGGTTTTCAAACTGTGGCTCTCGCCTCAGCGCCGCGTACATTCGTTTCAAAATGCTGCATGGTCAACGTATCATGGACTCAGGATTGTGAAGGTGCAACACGTACGCTGATTCGCTGAATTCGAAATCCCAGGAATGGTGTTCTGGCACGATTCAGGATCGTCAAGACGCAACCGTCAGGTTGATCCGTGGCGTTGGAGTCCCGAGAATGGTGTTGTGGCACGCTCCAGGGTCTTAAAACGGTTGTCTACCAGCGAGGCAGTTCCATCAGTAGGACATGAACCTTGGTGGGGGCCTAAGAGGGAGCTTGGAGGGAAGGAGTCTCGGGTTTACACTGGTCCTCCTCCTCCTCCTCCTCCTCCTCCTCCTCCTCCTCCTCCTCCTCCTCCTCCTCCTCCCACTACTACTACTACTACTACTACTACTACTACTACTACTACTACTACTACTACTACTACTACTACTACTACTACTACTACTACTACTACTACTACGACTACTACTACTACTACTACTACTACTACTACTACTACGACTACTACTACTACTACTACTACTACTACTACTACTACTACAACTACAACTACAACTACAACTACTACTACTACTACTACTACTACTACTACTACTACTACTACTACTACTACTACTACTACTACTACTACTATTACTCCCCTTGCTCCTCCTCCGGTTTCTGCCCCATCCTCCCCTTCTTGGGGCACAACGACTTACCCAGCCCTTTATTCCGCTGCGTTTTCCTCCACATCCCTGATCAAGGCAACTCGTCTGCGCATCGTTTCTCGATGGGCTGGTGGGGTTACGCGAAGCGCCTAGAATTGCAACACGAAAAAGAGGCGGATGAGTCCAGGCTCGGGAGGACGGTGGAATTCATCTTCTTTCGAAAAAGAATTGTTGTTCTTCGAGCGATCCCCACCGAAACCTTCGGCGATTGATCCCGAAGGTGCGCGCGCTCATTGGAACGATGTGCGCGGGGCTCGGCGGGCAGAATGGGCGAGTCGGCACGGGGGTGTGGTGCTGGTGGTAGTTTGTGTTGATTTTGCAGGTGGGCGTCGAGTCCGCACGGGCGCGCTTATCTTGTGCTGTGAGGTTTGGTGGTATGCTATAATATGTTATGTCATAGTTTATGGGGTTATGCTATAATATGCTTTGCTACGATGTACCATATTATGCCGCGCTCCGTCATGGTATGGAATGTCATGTGATGTGATGATGCGCTATGGTGTGGCTCGTTCTGTCATGGTATAGTATGGAGTGATCTGGTACGCCATGTTGTGGTATGATACGGTAGGTTGTGATATGTATGCTCCGATATGGCATAGCATGCGTTGCTATGCTGTGTTGTGTTATGATATGTTGCGCCATGGTATGTGCTGGTGTTGCATGTTCTGTTTGGGTATGTTCAGTTCTGCGTTGGTTGATTATGGTATGCTTGATTTGAACGGTTATGAAATAATATGTGCTGTGATGCTGTGCTATGGTATGCACTGCTCTGTCCTGGTGTGTTATATTACGATATGACATGTCATGATATGGTATGCTATGCTCGGATATGTTATGTTCGGCGGTGTGGTCTTATGCTCTGTTCTGTGGGGGACCTGGGGATCTGGCGGCCGCAGTATGCAGAGTAGGCGAGTCGGCGCGGGGGGCGGGACCACCAGGGATTATCGGGAGACCTGGGGATCTGGCAGCCGCGGTATGCAGGGCGGGGGGGGTGGACCTTCAGGGATTATCGGGAGCCTGGGGATCTGGCGGCCGCGGTACGCAGGGCGGGCGGGCCGGGAGGTCTGTTCTGAAAATCTACCGACCCCACCCTGTCGGATGGGGGAGGGAGGGGGGAGAAAATCGATGTGAGCATCGGGAAACGCCTGCCAGGGGCACGAGGCGCCCACGGGACGCCCACGGGGGCCTACCAGCCGAAAGCCCGTAAGCGCCGTCCAGCGCACGAGGCACCCGCGCGGCGCCCACGGGCAGCCACGGGGGCAAAAACTCGAAAGAGCCAGCCAACGCACGGGGCGCCCAGGAGGCGCCATCGGGCGGCCACCAGTCGATAACCCGGAAGACAGAGCCGATGACTTGATGACCACACAAAAAAAAGCATGGTGCAGGAGCTGTTTGGAAGACTGAGAGCTACCAATACCAAGTGTTCGGCCCGAAGAGCGCCCGAGCCGACCCAGAAGGCCTCCAAGATCGCCCCAAGACGGCCCCCGAGGCTCCCAACAGGGGCCCCAGAACCCCCAGGACGGCCCCAGGAGGGGTCAAAAAGGCGTGGCACCGCCAGACGGCTGAAAACCTCACCTGCAAGATTGACCCAAGACTCCCCAGACCCCACGAGGCCCCAAGAGGCCCCCAATTGAGGTCTGTAAGCGGCACCCAGGAGGCTGACAGGATGCTTCCAAGAGGCGTCGAATACGCCCCCAAGAAAATACCAAGAGGCATATCTCACACAAAGCCGCGGTGTTCCCGACCATGAGTCCACCTTGCGCCCACAGCCCACGCATGGGAGAAAAGGGGAAACATGTCCTGGATCCGGGTGGTTCCCCAGAGGCCAGCCTTTGATCACGAGTTGTTTTCTTGACGGCCCCAGGGCCCGGGGATGGGGAGGGCCCTGGGAGCCTGAAAATGATTGAATTGTCTTGTGTCTTATGTTTCCTTGTTTATAAATTTGTGTGTAAATATATATATATATATATATATATATACCCTCCAAAAAAAAGGAAAACCAAAATACTCCAACGGAAGGACCCCACATGAGAATCCTCTGGGCGAATCTGGAGAAAGCCGTCACCGTCGTCCTCGTGGTTGGTGAGGCGTCCTGGCTGTGTCTTCTGCGTATATTTCTTTGCGCCCTGGCGCGGGGATACGTGCCGGGAATAGCGCTTTGGGAACACGACGACCACAAAATGGCCTACAGTTGGCTCCCGACATTCAGAATGTGGCCCGGGAGTGGTGTTCTGGGAACACGAAGAACACGAAGTGGCCTACAGTTGGCTCCGGGCATTCAGAATGTGGCCCGGGAATGGTGTTCTGGGAGCACGAAGAACACGAAGTGGCCTACAGTTGGCTCCGGGCATTCAGAATGTGGCCTGGGAATGGCGTTCTGGCAGCGCGAGAACCCAGCGGCGACAGTTACAAGAATTGGATGACCCGCTCGGATTAGTAACATGATCCGCGGGCCCCATAGGGAGGGGGCTCCCGCTTGAGACTTCCTTGCGCTTCATTCACAAACGAGGCCCATGTGGCCCGGGAATGGCGTTCTGGCAGCGCGAGAGCCCAAAAGTGTCGACAGTTACAAGAATTGGATGACCCGCTCGGATTAGTGACATGATCCGCGGGCCCCATAGGGAGGGG